TATTAAATTTTCATATAAAATTTATATCTAAAAATTTTAAAAAAAATTAAGCCATAACTACTAAAATGAACTAGGGACTATTATTTTGATTAGCAAGTACTGCAACGTAAAACACGTATGATGAACTCAGAGAAAAACAAATTCAATTTTTTTTCCAATGCACTATATATAGGCCAATGTCCATGGTGCTCGGTTGATGCAATTCTTAAGATTGTTCAGGAAATTAAATAATTAATCTTGAGATGTGCAAATAAATACACAAAGACAATAACCCTCCAAAAAAAAAAAAACAAAAAGTTAAAGTGTGATAAATTAAATGATATTTTCTCTCATCCAAAGCAGGAAAATTGCCCAAATCCATACAGACGGCAAGAATAAAATGAAAGCAAAAGAAGAGACTTGAGAGTGACAAAATCAAAACAAAATCTGTAAAGTGTGGACCTATTATCAAGTAATTCTCCTCTTTAGAGCTTTGAACAAATCAAATATCCTTGAATTGGCATGGAAGGCACCTCTTTATTCCAACCAAAACCCTATATATATCCCCCTCTCTACTTCAGTCACCTACAACTCGAGAACGATGGCTTCTGAAACGATGAAGTCCAGCTCCACCCTCGAAGGAGACAAACAGCGTCAGCTCGACCGAGAAATCAAAGGCATGGTGTCCGCCATAACCCAACGCATATCTGAGATTCACAAGCCTGGATCAAGCCGGCACGAGGAGGACGGGGACTCTGGTGGTGCAAATGTCATCATGCTGGCCGGTACCAACCATGGTGCCACCATGCGGAGCGAGATGGACGAGAAATCTGGCGTGCCTCAAGGCAAGCTGTCCGTGGGGGAGCCCGACGCGTTGAACACATACGTGAACAGTAACTTCCAAGCGGTCAACAACTCGATCATGCTTGATAGCCGCTACAAAACTCATGATCCCGGCGTCCGCATGGAGGTGTCGGATGGTTCGGAGTTCAGTCATCAAGGTCCAAAGGAGAAGAAGAAGGGAAAAAAGAAGAAGGAGAAAGAATCATCCGAGAGTGATCAGCGAACTGGTGAGAAGGAGAAGGAAACCGACGATTCAGATTAATTGAATTAATCACAGCTTAAGTATAAAGGAAAAGAGGAATTTACTTGTTTACTTAATCATATATGCATGTTGTCTGAATGTCCGAGAGTGTGTCTTGATTTGCATGTATGCTCAATAAAGTTTCTCTACCATATATTAAAAAAAGTGTGCTTAATAAAGTTTTTTTTTTCTTTTTTCTGATTTTGTATACTTTGATTTTGTATATTGTACTTAAATCAATAATTCTGTGTCAGAAAAAGTATTAAGACTTTTTCTGCTGTTTAATGATTCTTGTTTCCTAATATTTGAGCACAATTAACTACAAAATATGAACTCTTCAAGTGTTGTAGGAAGAAAAAATTGTTATGCATTTGAGAGGATATAAGATTGCACAATAAAAACAATTTGATAAAAGATTGAGTCTTTAATATTGAAATCCTTTTTAAATCTAACTGTTCACATTTTCCAGTTTAATATGTAAAACAAAAAAACTTTGGTAAGATTATGATTTGTTGGTCCAGACAAAACAAGTTCAATTCTTTTTTCAAAATTAATTAAAATTTAAAAAAATATTATAAATTATATAAATAATAACAATTATAACTTTTGAACATCAACCATTAATTATATAACTGTAATGAATAACTAAAACTAATTCTCAATTGTATTGTTGTTTTACTTCTCTTGTAGTGACAAGATGATTTATATATTGCCAGCGCTAACAATGTGTAATTAACTAAGGATAACATGAACAGTACCCAAAAAATTTAAGGATAAAACTAATTGACAAAATCAATAACAAACTTTTTCCAGCCCCACACATGACAACATGCACCCACATCAACTAATATAATTTGGATGTTATTATGAAAACCGAAACTCTATAATTGGGAAATAATTGACATTAATCCATCCAGGTGTGGAAACAACTTCTCTCTCGCTGTTTCAAAATACTCGAGATTCATATTTATAGTCTGAATTCAATCTCAAGGTTCGAACCACTAATTATTTTAGTCTTGTATCTTTTTCCATCTTCTCAATTCTGTAAAAAGTTAGGCCTGCGTCTAGGAGAATGGCAGACGGTTTTATGTTGATGATGCAGTTAGTGTTTCCCCGGATTGATGTAGCAGAAACTCCGGCATCCGATCTTCCTTGTTCTCTCGATGCTAATAATGAAGAAGACATTCACACTTCCGTCTTAATTATCATCATGGGATTGTTACTCTTTTTCCTTTTCTACTTTCTCATCGACGGCTTCCATAGTTTGCTCCAAAATGAGACAAACGAGGGCGACATGGAACTAGGGGAAATGAACAATCAGCATGAACGTTCCCGGAGAACCATTAGCGCCGTGGATTGGTCACATCAAGCGGCTGCAATTCACCGGAGGAACATATGGGTGCTGGAAACGTTGAACAGGATTGTGCAGGCCTTGGATGATAGGCGGGGGCTGGGGCGGGAGGAGATGGAGAAAGTTCTGCCAATTGTCAACTACAACAGCAATGAAATGAAATGGAGTGACGATTGTGCAATTTGCTTGGAGGATTTTCAAGAGGAAGATTTATGCAGGATTTTTCCTGTTTGCAATCATGTTTTTCATTGGAATTGCATCGATGGTTGGGTGAAAAATAATCTCACTTGCCCTGTTTGTCGAAATTGTATTTTGGATTTGGATTTGGAAGATTTCGATTTATCATGACAAAGTAATGTAAATAGGCATTTGAATTTGTTACAAGAATGTAAAAAAATACCCAAAAAAAAAAAAAAAGAAGAGAATTTTTCTTTATTTTGAGTTTGAAGCATGAATACGTTGTTTTACGATTCTGATTGTATTGAACTGTAAAATAAAAACCTTCATATAGATAAGAGCTCTAATATTAAGAACTCACTTTTTGTTTAATAATTTATATTTTACAATTAGATACAGTTCAAATTATAACATAGTTTTTCATTAAAACATATACATGTAATTAAATGACAATATCCATGGATTAGGCTTGCTCGGAATGGGGAACTCCCCAGCCGCTCTTTTGTCAGTTAACAAGGTTAGTGTTTGATCTTCCGAATGAACACTTAAAGGATGAGATACTTAATTGTTATTTGTTATGTTATAAGATTTTATAGAATATTGAGGTTCAAATTAATATTTGTGAACTGGTGGATGATTGTGTTGGTTATGAGGTTAAAAGCATTGCTAAGAAATGTTTAAGATGAATCTAAAATACATACAAACGGTAGTGTTAAGAAACAATACAGGAAGAATGTGGAATATGTATACAGTGTACCTATGTATGTCGAAATTGAACTTTGAAAATGAGAGTAATTTAGTGGTTTTTCCTGTGGATGTCCCTAAAGTGTTCGGTGGCTGCTCCTAACCCACCCACTAGGCCGCCATGAAGTCTTGGTGATGAGCTGCAAACATCTTGGGCCCATTTTAGTCTTTTTATTTATTGAGCATGTGATAATGCTAGGAGCAAGGTTGGATGTTAATTAATTATGATTAAGCTATGACTAAGATTTAGGTCCCCTACTTTTGAAAAGAAAGAAAGATTAATTAGAATCGTATTATATGACTACTTGATATTTCAAGACAATTTTCCAGGGGAGGTTTCTCCCCACAACAAGCATGTTTTATGATTAGGTAATTTGATACAATATTTTTTTTAAAACAAATGATAGAAAGTTTTTCCAGATAAAATTTAGTTTAGTACCAGTTTGAGACAATTTGTTAGCACTGCTAGGGAAGTTTGTTTCTTTGGACCAAATTCCTAATATTGGACATGTAACCCTGTTAATTCCAACCATCACTTTTAACTTCCTTCTCTATCTTTCATATTTATTCCATATAGAATTTTCC